GAAAATCTCAGATTTATTAAAACAATATAGCTTCTGTCTGCTCTGTAAAAAATGTTTTCTGATTCAATGTCCGTCTACACTAAAAAATAGTTGCGCAATCTATCACCGAAACTCCACCACGGGAATCATAATCCAATGATTTCTGTGTCGGTCGCAAGTCCGGAAAAAGGAGAAGCATTCAACGGAAGGGGTGCAGATATCGCCGTTTGTAAAAACGAAAAGACGAAAGAAACCAACCATGAACGGTCAGTTTTGGAAATCATACCGACTCGGACGTCGCCCGGGTGAACAAGGTCCGCGTCCTCTGTCGTGGGACCAGGACAGAGTCGAAAACTTGGCTACTGGAGCAACCGTTTCTTCAGAAACAACAACGGCAAACCACATATCAGCAACAACTCAGAGAACATCAACAGCATCAACGTTAACAACAACTCGGAGAATATCAGCACCAACAACAGCATACAAGCAAATCTCCAACAAACTAAGAATAGCAAAGGATGTCTTCACGATCGGTACATGGAATGTTCTAACATTATGGGCAACTGGTAAATTGAAACTACTAAGAAATGAAATGAAACGCTACAAATACGATATTATTGGCATCTCAGAAGTGCGCTGGACAGGTAAAGATGAAACAGCAAATGGTGATTCCATTTTGTCAGGTGAAAGTAACACACATATCAGAGGAGTGGACACGCTACTCAGCACAAGAGCTCAAAAGGTACTTGTGGGCTACAATCCAATAAATTCAAGACTAATTACAGCAAGATTCATGGCAACACTATTCAACATAACAGTAGTCAATGTATATGCTCCAACATCTGACGCCTCAAGAGAAGATATTGAAACATTCTACGATGACTTGGAAGATACAATATTAAAAGCTCCGAAAAAAGATATGCTTATCATAATTGGTGATTGGAACGCAAAGGTGGGTGATGACAGTCCAGGCTGGGAGTGTGCAATGGGCAAATATGGCTATGGAAAACGAAATGAACGTTGTGAACAATTATTAGAATTCGCAACATCACACAACTTATTCATTTGCAACACAGCATTTCAACAAAAAGCAAGTCGAAAATGGACATGGGAATCACCGAATGGTTTACACAAGAACATGATTGATCTAATCATCATTCAAAAGCGCTGGAAATCATCCATCATCAACTGTAGGACATTTCAAGGAGCTGATATCAGCTCTGACCATTCCTTAGTTTTGTGCAACATAAAACTAAGATTGAAAAGTTTACTGAATAAACCAAAACACAACCGACGACCTAACATAAAGCAACTCAATGACCAAACAACACGACACTTATACCAGATCCAACTGGAAAATCATCTGAACAACATGAACACCAACTGCAATCTGGACGAACATGCTCTACAAATCGAACAAGCAGTCAAAGAAGCATTACAAACAAACACAACAACTCAAAAGATAATCAAGAAGCCTTGGATCTCTCATCACACTGAATTTAGCAGAAGA